CAACTTGGATAACTTAATTTGAAATTGAAAAGGCTAAATATGGAAGATTTTAAGATATCCCGACAACATATGGGAGTTTTTAAGGATCAAATTCATGTACTATTTCTTGGGCTGTTAATCGGTTGAGGACACTGCGCGATTGTAGCAGACGAAATCCCATGTGTAGATGACTTAGCTCTGAACGCGCCTGAGGGCGCGTCCGTCGCAAAAATAAACTTATACAGGAAAGATCAGAAAATACCACAGAGCATGCAGCCCTTTGATTATTTAAATAAAACATATTTAGTAAGAATTTTATAGATTTCAATAAATTTCTGTGATTAAATATGTTACTGAAAGATGTGCATAGTATATCATTAAGCACAAATGTATGTGAATGTGGTGGTGTGTGCGGGATGTCTGATCTATAATCAGACACACATATGCCCAACATTTGAGCCGCGTCACGACAAAACCACAGTCTGATCAGGATCCATGCTGTTCGCTTTCCAACTCTTTTACAAGTAGAGAAACTGGTAGCGAACAGCCTGGATCCTGATCAGACTGCGCGGACGCGCAGGCTGGTCTGAATCCATGCTGATCGCAAACCCATTATGTTGGTTTTGTCGTGACGCGGCTTATTTGTAATTGACTATGCACATGTTACAAAAATAAACAACTTCCTTCTTTCCTTATTATACATGTATATTTTAATGCGTTACATACCTATCCGCCACTACTAGTGACTCTGAGACATTTATTAAGGTAAAAGAAACCGCCACTGACTGTACGTGTAACTGCCTAATTGCATCACTTTTTACGAGCATATTTTTTTCTATTAGACTGTATACATATATAAAATTATATTGCATAATCCTTTACTACTTGTATTTATATTCTTTCAACTGCAATGTATGTATTAAACGCTTAGTACGTATTTATATATACATGTACGCAGTATCTATACGGAAAATTCCGATGATAGGCGAATCGTGGAAAAAATTCCGTTGACATCGATACGTAGTTCTCGCCCCTTAACAGTACATAGTTTTAATTGTTTATCATAATGTAAGATGATCAAACATTATCCACAAAGCCTCAGACACCGAGCTTTATTAAGCATAAACACTGCATAATGGATATAAGCGAAAGCTAATAGTAATCACGCCATGCGAGCTATAAGTCATATTTTAAAAAATCCATCAGGGAACATTAAATAGTTAATTTTAAATGACTTATACATAAAAGTAATACAAAAAAACTAAACCGTAAATGGTTTGTATAGAGCATGAAGAAAGGTAGCTTATGCATAAAGGTATATGACGTTAACATTTTAGTATTCCAAATGGCTTGTTCCAGTTTATTAGTTATCACTCAATGATAGAATTGGTGACTACGAAATGTTTGAATGAAATAACGAAAAATGGAAACCAGCATAATGCACAGTTTAAATATCATAAAGCAAGATGGAATCAAGCATAATGCAAGTTCTAATGTCATGTAGCAAGATAGAATTAAGCATAATGCAAGTTCCAATGTCATCAAGCAAGATGGAATCAAGCATAATGCAAGTTCCAATGTCATCAAGCAAGATGGAATTAAGCATAATGCAAGTTCCAATGTCATCAAGCAAGATAGAATAAATGCATTAATTCTGTTCCATAGATCTGTCTGAACTGTATTCTGTTGGTTGGATAATATCACTATTTTGGTATAGTCTAGGAGAGCTGTGTATTAACAATACATAATTTTAAATGCAAAGAAAGAAAAATTTACTTCACATATTTAACATTTTTTATACACAAAAGTGTCAAAACAGTTACGGTAGTCTAATTGAATTTTTTTATTTTGGCGAAAGAAGTTCATGAACTTCTTTAAATCACTTTCGTGTCCGTTTCCTGTACCTAACCTGCATTAGTGTCAAATGCGATATCATTATCGTGATCCCAGTAGACCTTGAACCAATGACCCCTAAATTAAGAGGTAGAACCATCACAACTCCCGTTAAGAACAGTCACGTGATCTTTCCCTAAGTGATTTAGTCGATGAGATTTTCTGGACAGCAAGCTAAGTATATAAACAAGAGGGCCAAGATGGCCCTAGATCGCTCGCCTGGCCCATCAAACTCATCCGAACAATTACCTTGACCAAGTTTCCTGACAGTACTAGTCGAGTCAAAAATGTGACCATAAGAGTGTAAATAAGGGTTTTCATATTTTAGCACTGTGACCTACTTTTTAACCCCAGGTGACCCATATTCGATCTTCACCTAGAAATGATCAAAACACAATTTCAGACCAATTTCCAGGATATTTGTATCAAAACAGTAGCCACTAGAGTGTTAACAAGATTTTTCTATTTATAGCTCTTGTGACCTAGTTTTTCATCCGAGATGGCCCATGTTCGAACTCATCCGAACAATTTCCTAGACAAGCATCATGATCAAACCTTATGACAATTGAGTCAAAAATGTGACCACTAGAGTGTTTCTATATTGGGCGGTGTTACCTACTTTTTGACCACACGTGACCCAAATTCTAACTTTACATAGAAATCATCAAAGCAAACTTTCAGACCAATTTCCATGATATTTGGATCAAACAGTAGCCACTAGAGTGTTAACAAGATTATTCTATTTTATGCTCCCGTGACCTAGTTTTTCATCCGTGTAGACCCATGTTCAAACTAATCCGAGCAATTACCTAGACAAGTATCCTGACCAAGTTTGATGATGACTGAGTCAAAAATGTGACCACTGGAGTGTTAACGAACAAATGTGGATGGACGACAGACGACGGACGACGGCCATTCAACGATCTTAAAAGCTCACACTGAGCAAGGTAGAAAAAAGCAACAGAGATACTTCAAAAGTAGACTTTACTGGTCGACGAACTTCGAAAGTGCCTTCTTTATTGGGTTGTATAATATTTTTATGAAGAATTCGTTCAGTATTAAAATCATATTTATAAAACAAAAACTATGCGAATCGGTTTTTTTATATATATTTCCTGCAGGCATTTTGTCCAAACGGCACGTGGGTTTTCCCTATTTCTTTGTTGAGTGCACATATGAATAATATCTATATATTTTTCATCTGTCTTACTAATATACACAGTGGTGACTTGCACAACTATTAAAAAAATCTTTTACCTCGTTCTACAACAAACACGTCCGTGTCCGTCCATTAAGATCAAAAAGTAAAATGTTTTTAACTACGATCACTCCGTTTTCACAGTCTGAACCCATTAGAACACATCGTTTAGAACGTACTTCGAATATGCTCGGTGTGTCAGGGGTAATACTTAAATTTCAGATTTGCTGTTGATTTCAGAAATCTGAACTGACGTATATGAATAGACAAAGTTTTGAAACGAAATATTTCAATGGAACAGTACACTTAATTTCAAATGAACAAAAAACTAAATCAATGTAGAGGAATTGATATTTCACAAAACCTCGTGTTACCCAGCTATATCCTGTTTAAGCTTCGAATATAATTACCAAAATACAATATGTTCCATCCAATGCAATAGCATTTATTGTTGAAAACCCCGTAAAACTAGAATTTGAAATATTCTCAGTTAAATAGGTTGAGATCAATTATATTTATTTTATATAACTCGTTCCCACGAGTTTCTCAGTCGTTAGTGTCTCGTGGGTACGAAATAAAAAGATATAAGTGAATTTTTTAGTAAGTTGTGGATGTCACCCCTGTGCAACCAAAGTTATGTAAATGAAATATCATGGATAAAATTCTTTTTTTCATTGTCAAGAAAATCAAATATAATTATGCGTTTTTGTTGTTGTTTTCGCTATTAAAACCTAGCCTTATTGGGTTAACTGAATATGACCATGCGACCAGCGCATACTAAGTTCATTCCTGTCGTCTGATCATGGTGTCAATGTTCGCTATTCAGTCAGTACTTATTTCATTTTTTTTCTAAAACGGTTTATTATGGTTGCTTATTTGGAACACTTTTGTGCGTCGTGTTGTCGCTAGAGACGGTACGACAAAGCGCCAAACGGCGCGTTGTCGGACTTTCGTCTTGTCATCCTGTCGCTAACGATGCACGACAAACGGCGCGTTGTCGTGCGGCGTGTTGTCGCTATGTCACATTGTAACTCGTCTCAAATCGAAGAATTGGCTATTTGTATATATATAAGCCAAGTGACAACGCATTGTCGTCTTATCGTCTTCTCGCTAGCGAAGCACGCCAAACGACGCGTTGTCGTGCGGTGCTTTGTTGCGATGTCGCCTTGTCGGTTGGATTATAAGCCAATTCTCCCATTTGAGCCGAGCGAAAATTTGACATTGTGACAACACGCCGCACGACGAAAGTCCGACAACGCGCCGTTTAGCTCTTTGTCGTTACAACACGACGCACAAAAGCGTTCCAAATCAGCCACCATATAAAGCTGTTACAGTAAACTTCATCAATTAGTGGTATACACTAGATTATATCATTGAACGTCTAGTAAGTATTTCTTTATTAGTGACACCGAAAAATATAGGTATGAAATTTAACAAAGAAAATACCTACTTACAGTTTGTCTTATCCGAGCACTATATTTTATTCCTAGATATTAAATCCGCAATAAAGATTTCCAGGCTAATAACAGCTGTTTAATGTTTAATTATCACCAGTCAGTCAATCAGGTTTGTGATATGCTTGTGTACCAACTGTCGCCGTAACGCAGATGGTGAAGATGTTATGCAGCTTTAACAGTAAGAATAACTCACGGTGGCCTATGGGAAATTAACATTACAAAAAAGTGAGGGGTAATAAAAAGTTATAGTTACCAGGTCTGCATAGTATTTACAGACCCGGGTGGCGATATGAAGACCGAGTGTGTTGCGATCGAGGTTTTTAAAAGGCCACCCTGGTCTGTAATTACTATATAGACATATTCCGCGTGCGCTAACTATCTTACGTACATGCTATTTTGTTTTTCAATCCAAACATCAGTTTATATTTCAGTATTTATTAATATTACTAAAAAGAAAATATTATTTATGAAACTTTATCACGTTTAAGGAAGCATTCCAAAGCCATTCAAAGATACCAACCGCTACGCTCTTGTTATTCATTAGTGGACAAACCAGGTGTTATTTGTAAATTCTTGTTATTCGTGTGATTTCGTTATGTAATAGGGTAAGGTAAATGCACTTCTTGAGTTAAGTAACACAAAATGAAAACAGAACTTACCTAGATTCTGATATAAAGAAGGCAACTGTAAGATAATTATTTTGTAATATGTATCCATAATATAATAATTGTAGATAAAACTATATAAAGGCTGACAAATGTTTATTTAAACATAAAAAAGTTTTCTAATCCTAAACATGGAATACTTTACCTTTATATATAATTAATTTCATGGTAAAATTATGAATTCAGAGGACCTGTTAAGCGGTCGTTATGTAATAGATAGAGCATCGGAACACGAGGATATGTACGAGAGGGCGTAACCCTAGAGTATTAATCAGATTTCCGAGTGTTTTGATGCTCTTTTTTGTATCATCGTCAAACATATAAACACGTTCCCTGTTGTCACAATATGAAACCCCAGAAAAAAGTAACAAATGATCGAGCATCTGAATATGATATTTCTATCGTTTTCCCTTTCTCTTCCGTCACAATAAGTAAACGCTAGCAAAAATGAGCAAATCAATGGGCATGCTCTGGAGTGCGGGTAACTAATACAGGAAGCAACATTCAGAATATTTTTAACTAAATTTCGTACATATTCATTCAGATGATTTGGCAATAGTACGCGTGCGCTACATAAATATTCCTGGGACGGAATTGTTATTCTAATATGATCGAAAATGAATATTATTTTTACTTATATGCCCAAAATGTAGACTTTTTAAAACATTATTATTATACCTGGCCTAACTTACAAAAAATCAAAAACTTGTTAAGTGGAAACTAACGAGAAAACTGTTCAGAATCTATGTAAATTTATATATCATGCTAATCTACTGAGAAACTAACAGACATTCTTTAATGTTTAAGCTATTCAGAAAACCTTTGTATTATTATTATTGTATTATTGTATAAACATAAGTAAAATCCATACATTTCCATTGTATTTCATGTATTGTTTGCTATAAAAATGTTATATGTTTTATTCAATAACAAACAGTGGTATTATATATACCCATCGGCTAGGATTATGGAAAATCTTAAGTAACACAACACAATTATTTCAAGCGGAATGCGTCTTGCTTTATCGCTTAAACCTTCGCCAGCTACGTTTTCCTTGCTTTGAACTTGGAATAGTCTGTTCAAAATCAGAATTAGCGATAACATACAGCACGGTCTGTAAACGGATCTAAAATAAAATGAGTGAATAGCTCATACGGCTGCTAATTCATTATACCATTACCCACAATTCCGGGAAGTCTTTACTATTAAGATCATTCGTCAGAGACGACCTGGCTATCATACCGAATGTACACATAATACTGAAAGTAGAGAACGGCTGTAATTTAGACACAATTATATTATTTGTCTCTGAGGGAACGCTGGTTACCACCTAAAAATTGTCTGATTAAATTTTGATATTACATTTTATCATTTAGTTAAGTAAAATATTAAAATTATAGCTTGGCAAACGTTTTATGTGTACCGAAAAGCAAGAATACCTCAGTATTACATGCGCGTACGTCGACGAATAAAAAATCGCCGTTAATATGGTTTCCAGGCCGTCTTTCTCACGAATGATCTTGATTTCCAAAGACATTCCCGTAAATGTGTGTAACGAAGGTAAAATTATCTTGTCTTGGCAGACGTATGCACTAATTTGTTTCGTTCAATTTGATTTAAAATGAAATATATTGTTATTTTTTTACTGTGTTGTACTTTTTATTAGTATATTCCATTTTGCATCGTTCTGCTTTACTTCTTGCACAATCCAGCGTTATTACAAGGTGAGCCCTTCAGGGCACATTAAGCCTCAGAAATATATTCTAAAGAACGTCACGACTGCTCTTGCAAGTGCAAAGGAAACAATTAACAAAGAAATGTCATGAACTGATGTAACTGACTTTTCAAGGCTTGGCCCTGTGGATGAACGTCTAACACATTATGGGCAACACTTATTTCCCATATGTTCAGGTAAGTTACTTTATCCAGAATGTCAGTAAATTCCTCAGTTAGAATCTTATTATAAACAAGTGAAATGTATGGATCCCACCATTTTGAATCTGAAATACACGGAGAAGGCCCCTTGAAAAATACCTTAGCTTCCGGTTTTGAATAGAAGAGGCGTTTTAACGAAGCGACTAAATATTTCAGACGTTCACGATATTTTTCGGGGGGATATGAAGTAAAATGGGCGTGGTAGTTTAACAGAACAACTATAGAACTACCTAGTATATCACTATTAGTTATTGAGTCAAGTATTTGGGGAAAGGATTGAATATTATTTATAGGTATTTCACCACCTGCGAAATGCAAAGGCATAGCTTGTTTCCTGTAAATCAGTGTTATTCCGTGGTTTGTAAACGTGTGGTGACCATGGTAGGTTTGAAAGTTAGGTCCAAAAGTTAATCCTTTCTCTATTGTTTCATCTAATCCTAATATATCCTTAATAAAGAAGTTAATGTACTGCCTTACTGTTGAATCTCCAAGAAAAATCAACGTTCTGTTTTGAAGGCATGTTCTATAATTTGCAATTGTGTGTTTGAAATTGGTTTTGCAGTTCGTCGGAATCCAGAGACGTTTCAAAAAGAATCCAATCGGAGATTTCTCTGTCCAAGACTCCAATGGCGTTCTTTCATTACAAGTTACAGATGAGTTAGTATCCGACTTAAACGTTACGTCTACTGACATCGGTATCATGAATATACCGTGTCCCGGAGATCGGATTTTATCTTCAACACTACGAGCACGGCTCTTAAATGAACCAAGTGAGAATGATTGAAGGTCTTTACACTGGAATTGGCCTCCAGCAGGCAGTCCACAATACCACGACATCCCTCCGTTCAAAGTCGTAAAATTACATACCCGAGAGCTTCCATATATAAAGCTGTTAGTATTACACGGCGCCAAAACTTTCGAATTGTTATACGAATAAATGGCCCTCAATCCATAGGGTTGTCTGAGAGTAAATACAATGTCACCGTACTTATTTAGAGCTTTATAGCGAAGACACGTATTCTCGACTGCTGAAACCAGCCTCAGATGAACATTAGTTTTTCCTGTCCAGAAAACTCGGATAAAACCCGTGTATGAACCGTTCCGATGATCGATAACATTTCCCGGAACCATACCGTCACCATACATCTGTCTTGCCCACGCAAAAATGATATCTCCACCATTTAATTTCGGGATGTTTCTCTTATTGTATGTTCTAATACGAACCAGTATAACTCTGTATTTTGGTAAAAATTTTGATCTTGCCCTCGTAAACTTTGTGCTTGTCATACGATATTTGTTAGCTGTTTCGACGCAATTACAAAAATCTGGGAGATAAGCAAATGGCGGGAGAGTATTATTTTTTACAAAATCGGTAGAATTACTGTCTTTTTCTGGAAGGGGATTTATGATATATGTAAAAATAAAACCCGCATTTAGAACAAATAAAAGTCCTAGAGTTGCCCTTTTACTCCGCACAGTTTTGAGTAAATTAGTTCTTGCAGACGATACCTCAAGTTTCGAAATTGCCATTGTACATCGCATCAATAATGTTTCAGCAATCTGTAATGAAAATAACAATCGTTAATTGCCATCGCATAGCAATAGCGGGACATTTTACTTTTGGGTATCGCACGGCCCAGTGCCTTGGTTAGGGGTGAATGGAATTTAACATCAGCTGATAACTATAAAATAACTATGATAATACTTAAACCATGGCTCGGACAAAATTAGTTTAAATATCTTATCTTCTTCAACTTTTTGATCTATTGTTTAAATATGCACCCAGTCTACCTGAGCTGGGGTTAAGTATAACAACACAACTTTACTGTCTTTGAAAATTACTGAAAATATCAATTATAATAGTTAGTACAAAATAAATACAAATTTAGTTATATTTGAATGTAAAAAAATGTTTTTACGGTAGATTCATTTTTGCATCTATAGTTTTTTGACTGTACCCTCAAATGTTATATTACCGTCTAAGATACGTCATTCTAGCACAGTTCCGTTTTATTCAAGATTCAAATTTCAAAAATATTTTTTTCATAAAAAACCATGTTTCTTATTTCACTATACAATTGATATGTACATACGATCATACATATAAGATACTTATAAATACGCCAAATAAAAACAGGGGACATAAAATGTGACACTACGTTGGTGATAAGTACAATTAACCTTTTGTTTCATTACTAGTAGTAGTGAACGTTAAACATTACATATAGTAACGAACACGGCAGTATTTGACAGATGATACTTATATTAAATTTCTTGTATAATTAAACATGTTTCTCGTTTAAATTTACATACTTTAGCACAGTGACTACAGAGTAATTCTGAATAAAAAATTAAACTGTACCAATAAAAATGTGTATTTAAACACCAGCGTTGACAAATGATTTTACCATACAAGTAGATATGGCGGAACTATATTCTGTTGATTGAATGATATCACTAAATGGTATACACAAAATATAATTTAAAATGCAAGGTAAGTCATAAGACAAAGTTATTTTACTAGAATTGTATCAAAGTATTCACTATTTGTAGCGCCAAAACAGAATAATATAAACATTTCTATTTAGCTCGATTGCAAAAGTTCATGCAACTTCTTTCAATCATTTTCGAGTCCACTTCTTGGAACTAAACAGTTATGTACGCTGGCACAGATGCGACATGCAAAGCCTTTTTTAAAAAGATTATACAGCTCTTTTTACATCACCTGACAACGGGCAAAATGAAATTACGTTCTAAATAAGTATCCAATTTGCTAGCATCTCTCCATCGCTATCTCTTTCCCTGCCGTCAAATAAGTATATCCCAGAAAAAATGAGCCAATCAACGAGCATGCTCTAGACAGGCAGTGAGTGCGCCTCCAGTTAACGCACTGTGCATGTATTGCTCAAGTGAAGTCTCTAAACTATGATACAAGCGTTATTTGTTAACACCTTGCCTACTGGCGGTAACTTAGTATGACCATGTGACAAGTACAGCCAGCACATACTTGTCCACTGATCAAGCTATGCAATCAGTACGGTTTGAATTTTTTTCCTGAAACGATTAATGGATTTGTCCAGATTAACAAGAGCCGAATGTGTTTGCTCAGTGGAAGAATGTATATGTAGTAGAGCAGAATAATTCAATTTTAAGAGGTCTTTTGGTAATGGAAACTTATGACTGGAGTGATAAAAGCTATTGTTTGTATGTTTGTTTGTTTCATTTTACGCCTTTTCCCAACAGTATTACAGACAGGTAGGATTTTGAAGTACAACACCAATTAAAACTAAGATGTACAGACAAATCTTAATGTGTGAAAGCTACTATTTCTTGGTTTCGGAAACCTTATGTCTAGATGTAAGGGATAGGACATGTTCTATTTTGAAAATCTTGTACCGATTTTTATAGACCTCCCACAATGACAAGTCACAGATAACCAAATTATCTCCTGATAATGAGTGTAATGAATGAAATTCCAGAACAATTAGGGCTAAAAGGTAAACATATAGTAGTAAGATGGGATAAAAATGATGTTGAAAAACTCTTCAGGAGACCCAAAGTTGTGTTATGTTCGAATCCCAAATTATTCCGAAAATGATTATGTCACGTATTGAATTGTTCTCTAATTAGGGTTGGGGAGGTAGTTTGTAGGCGGCAAGATAGCTTAGTCAGTAGAACTGCAGTACGGTATTCCGAGGGTCCAAGGTTTGAGTCTCGGTCAGGCTTCACATTAAAAATATATATATTTTTAAATAGAGGTGTTTCAATCATTACTCATGGCGAAAAAAGTATTTAGTGAGTAAAGTATGTAAAGGATCAATGTAAAGGGATCCTTTTTAGGGGAAACCTCAGATAATTCTTACAGTGTAGAATTACCGTCTGAATGCAAGTGTTGTATAGCTTTGAAAATTGTACATCTTATCTCTAATTAGTGCAGTGCTGTACAACTAAATCCTACCGTCTGTTGAGGCCTTTAGTTTCCTAACCATCATTCCTGGAGGGTTACACCAGTACTAGACTACCTTCCTCCGCGAAAAGTAATTGAAACCTATGTGAATACTGATGGCTGAAAATAACAAAGGGCAATAACTGAATAATAATGCAGGTTAGGCTATCATTCTTGTGTGCTGCACTCCTCCTGAATGAGATCTATCCACCTATGAAGTTTCAAGTTGATACCTCCAACACTTTTTGAGATAAGCTCCGGACAAAAAGTATGAAAAATAACAAAGGGCAATAACTCAAATAGGGAAGAGTTGCACACATCATTCCTCCTCAATAAGATCTATCTACCCATGAAGTTTTGCATCTCAAAGACTTTTGAGTTTTGCTCCACACAGGTGAAAAATTTAGTATGAAAATAAAACCAAAGGGCAATAACTCAAAAATATGAAGGGTAGAGTTATTATTCTTGTGCACTGCACACCTCCTGAGTGAGATCTATCCACCTATGAAGTTTCATGTTGATATCTCAAAGCCTTTTTGAGTTATGCTCTGGACAAAAATTAAGTTTGAAAAATAATAAAGGGCAATGACTCAAAATTTATGCAGGGTAGAGTTATCATTCTTATGCACTGCACTCCTCCTCAATATGTTCTATCCACCTATGAAGTTTCAAGTTGATACCTCAAATACGTTTTGAGATATGCTCCGGACAAAAATGTCGGACTGAAGGACGGACGGAAGGTCGGACGCACGGACGAAGACTATTTCTATATCCCCCGCCGCCTTTCGGCGAGGGATAAAAACATACAAGTCTATTTACATCTATTTAGCGTGGTAAATGTTAAAACCGTAAACTTCCCCAATTAGTGGTATACACTAGATCATATCATATTGAACGTCTAGTAAGTATTAGGTATGAATTATGAAGTATCTAGTATGAATTAGGTACATCCCAAATATTACAATTAAAAACGAAAATATCTAGTTACCGTTTGTATATCTTATCCATGCATTTAAAAGCCGCACTTTTTTATTCACATACATTAAATCATCAATACAGATATCCATCCGCAATTACACAACGTACATAACGATTAAAGGGATAGCTATAACGACAGGCTTAATAACAGAACAGCTGTAGCATAATATTTATTTATTCCCATTAAACAATACTCATCAGCTTAGATTATGAAAAGCATTAAGTAACAAAAACAATTCTGTTAGGCTTTATGGCTTAACCCTTCACCAGCTGCGTTTGTGCAACGACTTTGTATACCTTTCTTTGAACTTGGAACAAAATACAACAAATGAGCAAAGGAGACGAGTGAGGAAGTACAACACGGTCAGTAGACGGATCTAATTGAAACAAGTTAATAGCTCATACGGCTACGAAGATATTATACTGTTACTCTCATTACAAATATTTGTGAGCGACGACCTGGCTATTGTGCCGAATACGACTTCTGTGTTCACATAACAACGACTGTAATTTGGGCACAATGCGTCTCTGAGGGAACGCTGGTTACCACATAAAAATTACCTGAATCACATTTTACAATTACATTTTGCAATCAAATTTTATTCTTCAGTACAGTAAAATATCAAATTAATTCTTCAAATGTATAAGGTGTATCGAAAAGCAAAAATACTTAGTTTTACATGCGCGTACGTCGACGAATCTCAAGAGTCGCCGTCCATATGGTTTCCAGACCGTATTAAAATTCTCTCGAGTGCTCTTGCTTTCCAATGACTTCCTGTAAATGTGTATGTGCGAGTGTGTGTGCGAGTGTGTGTGCGTGCGCGCGTGTGTTTAATGACGGTAAAATGTAATGAGGGTAAACTATATTAACTACATATATCTTGGCAGTCGTATGCCCCAATTTGTTGTTGTGCTTTTTTTAAAAATTTGATTTACAATAAAATATACTGGTCTCTTTATTAGTTTCCTCCATATATTTGCATTGTTCTGTATTACTTCTCGCACAATTCTGTGTTATTACGGGGTAATTACAGATTTTTCACGACGTGGTCCGTTGCTATGAAAAATCTGCGTTGGGCAAAATATCATAGCCGTTTATAGAAGTATAGTAAAAATAATTTTGAGTTAGTTAAGGTATTTGCGGTTAAATACAAACAAAATATATGTAATAGCTTTAATTAAAATGCAAAAGATGCCCGTGTTTGACACCACCTTGCTAATCCACATTATCAAAGTATACAGTACCGGTTATGTAATATTACGTAAACACGGGTAGTACAATTTTATCTTAAAACACCTGCCGTTTCAAGTTAAATAAAAGCCTCAACAGACGGTAGGATTTAGTTGTGCAACAATAATTAAAGATATAATGTACAATTTTCAAAGCAATATCACACCTATATTTAGACCGTAAATCTGTAGTGCATGAAACATCAGGTTTCCTTCCAAAACATGTCCATCCGAATGAATCCCTTGCAGAATTTACACACTGTTTTCACTTATGTGTAAATGTTATAACTGTTGGTATAGATGGATTTAAGAGGTGAACCATTAAGGTACAGCCGTGGAAAGCATGGAGGAAGCATTTAGGAAATAACCATATCCTGATATGAATTGAATAACCGAGCACCCTTAAGTCTGATCTATATTTTGGTGTAACGGTGATAAAAATTCTTTTTAGAGAGTAATGATGGAAAATTTTCAGTCTCTTATCATTTTCTGAGTAATTTGGGATTCGAACATGCTACAACTAAGGGGCTGTTTTTCAACATCCTTTTTTATCCTATCTTACTAAATGTTAACATTTTGCCCTAATTTTTTCTGGAATTTTATTCATTAAACACAGTATCAGGGGATAAATGCTCTTTCTTCACAGAATAATGCTGCTGAAGTAAAACTTATATATTTACATGTTTGCATACCAAAAATCATCAAGATCTGAGATGTTGTCAAATTTCAGTAGGAAAGTAACGAGCTATCTTAAATACTTCATTTAAATTACTCGTGTTTAAAATTTCACAGTATTCTTCATTCTTTATTCAAGAATGACTATTCTAATTGTGAAAAAAATGACTCAAAAATTGAAAAGCGACACAAACTTGCAAATCTTCTTCACTTAAATAGGGCTAGGAATATCACAACAACTCGATTTTTAATTTAATTCTGAGTATATTTCTTACTTATCTATGTTCTAAGTGTTCCAGTTCATCTATATGAAAGACATTCAAATTTTCTTTAGGCTTTTGGACCTCAGTGAATTTCTTTAAGGCATACTATTATACTATTTTAAACTTGTGTATGGTTCTCCGGGAACATTTTTAATGGTAGAATTATTTGAATCAATTTCTGTTCAACGTTTTTGTTTGTATATGCAATTGAATAAATGTATTTTTTACCAAGTTATGATGCTTTTTAAATGAGATTTTGGCCGGCAGCATATAATTTTGAGTTCTCCGCTTTTCTCTAGTTGATGAGAAATAAAAGAATTTTTGCAAATATATATAAACGCCTGCATTAGAAAATAAATTTAATTGCTATCAATAATTGTTGTGGTAGAACAGTAATGTATACTCTGGCAAAATGATTTGACTTGGTAATACGAAAAAGTCCAAAGGTTCGACTTACCTGGAACCAAGTGCCTATGCTAATAAAACCAATACTGTGTTAGTAATTCCGTAATTAAACAGCCATAATTACAAATGTGAGAAAAAATAAAAATAATAAAAACTTACTTAGCATCTAAAACTTGTATCCATAAGATTCAAACCACGCACAGGCATGCACATGCATCTATAGAGTAGTATTATAAGTTACCGTTACACCCTTAACTTTACTTTGCACGCTTTATGACAATTGCACGGACGCAAAGCAGAAAATGTGTTTTTTATTTCATATACGAAAGATTTACGACAGCCGTGTACGTGTATTATATGTTAGTATTAAACCTGATGTGTTTTACCTTTATAATTTCTATTTCTAGGTTGTCAATCCAATGGTTGTCAGTTGTCAAGGAAGATATGTTAGTGGGTTGACAAATTGTGAATTAAAAAAGAATATAGCCTCGTAATAAATATTCTATTGTTCCAGTCAGGAGAAAAATATTTAAAAAAAGGACAACACATCTTAGATGTAAATTTTGACTCGTACATAGAAATTCTCATATAAATATAATGTACATGCATTTTTATAGACTGAACGAGAATTTACTATAAATAAGCGAAATTTATAAATTGTTTAAATGCTTAATGCTGAGTTATAATGAAGCCACTATAAATTTTCTGAATTTAAGCTGAAAGTTGTTTCATTTAATAAAAGTTCATATATGCATAAAAAGAGTGTCTTGAACATAAATGGAGCAGCATTCATTTAAGGCCACCCTTTCAACAGTTTCTTGAAGACAATAGCGGATCAGAGGCAGTAAAGCAATTGAAACACCTATACAAGAGAAAACGAAAGCAGTTAACAGACACATGAAAAACACTTAAAATGTAACATGTAATCAAAAGTGAACTGAAACATGTACATTATTGTTAGCTGAAACATGTAAACAATAGTCAGCTGAAATATGTAAATAATAGTGAGCTGAAACATGTAAATCATAGTGAGCCGAAACATGTAAACAATAGTGAGCCGAAACATGTTAACAATAGTGATCTGAAACATGTAAACCATTGTTAACTGAAACATGTAAACCATTGTAAGCTGAAACATGTAAACAATTGTGAGCTGAAACATGTTAGCAATAGTGAGCTTAACATAATAATAGTGAGCTTAATCATATAAGCAATAGTGAGCTGAAACATGTTAAACATTGTTAGTTGAAATATGTAAGCAATAGTCAGTTGAAACATGTAAACCATTGTTATCTGTAACATGTAAACAATAGTGAGATGAAACATGTAAACAATAGTGAGCTGAAACATGTAAACCATTGATAGCTGAAACATGTAAACCATTGTAAGCTGAAACATGTAAACAATTGTGAGCTGAAACATGTTAGCAATAGTGAGCTTAACATAATAATAGTGAGCTTAATCATTTAAGCAATAGTGAGCTGAAACATGTTAGACATTGTTAGTTAAAATATGTAAGCAATAGTCAGTTGAAACATGTAAACCATTGTTATCTGTAACATGTAAACAATAGTGAGATGAAACATGTAAACAATAGTGAGCTGAAACATGTAAACCATTGTTAGCTGAAACATGTTAACAATAGTGAGTTGACACATGTAAACCATTGTTATCTGAAACATGTAAACAATAGTGAGTTGAAACATGTAACCCATTTTTGGCTGAAACATGTTAACAATAGTGGGATGAAACATGTAAACAATAGTGAGATGAAACATGTTAACAATAGTGAGTTGAAACATATAAACCAGTGTTGGCTGAAACATGTAAACAATAGTAAGATTAAACATGTAAACCATTGTTAGCTGAAACATGTAAACAATAGTGAGTTAACACATGTAAACCATTGTTAGCTGAAACATGTAAATAATAGTAAGCTGAAACATGTTAACCATTAATGCTGAAACATGTAAACAATAGTGAGTTGAAACATGTAAACCATTGTTGGCTGAAACATGTTAACAATAGTGGAATGAAACATGTAAACCATTGTTGGCTGAAACATGTAAACAATAATGAGTTGAAAGATGAAACATGTAAACCATTGTTAGCTGAAACATGTTAACGTTTGTTAGCTGAAACATGTAAATAATAGTGAGCTGAAACATGTAAACCATTGTTAGCTGAAACATGTAAACAATAGTGAGCTGAAACATGTAACCCATTGTTGGCTGAAACATGTAAACAATAGTGGGATGAAACATGTAAACAAAAGTGAGAGGAAACCTGTAAACAATATGAGCTGAAACATGTAAACCATTGTTAGCTGAAACATGTATACAATAATGAGCTGAAAAATGTAAACCATTGTTGGCTGAAACATGTAAAAAAGAGTGAGATGAAACATGTAAACAATAGTGAGCTAAAAAATGTAAACTATTGTTAGCTGAAACATGTAAACAATAGTGAGCTTAAACATGTAAACAATATTGAACTAAACATGTTAACAATAGTTAAATGTAAACGGGTAAACAACAGTGAACTGAACCATGTAAAGAATAGTGAACTGAACCATGTAAACAATGGTGATCGGAAACATAAAAGCCATTGTGAGCTGAGACATGTAAACACTAGTGAACTGAACCATGTGTAACCAAGTGCTATTTTGAAGGTTTATTTGTTATTTTTTAAGAAAGACAACTCTGTCGACCTTGTTTGATTTTAATCTTAACAAAGTTGTTGGTCATTGTGACATGTAGATGTGTTGGTTTTTACCTAGATTATTACTAAGGATTTGGATTGACGAATTGTAATTGCAGTACAGAGCTAATATCACAGTGTGAGTGACAGAGGTATAGTTACAGAGTCTGATCCACAATTTGGTGTGATGTGATGTGATATATGATGTTGAGATGTACTGTATATCCTGTTGAGTTGGAATTATATATAGTGTCCACTACAAATTAAATCGACGAACCACTAACCCTCAGTTTTGGTTCTTTATTTATACTAGGCAAAAAGACAGTGGGGTCACACATGTTAACAATAGTGAACTGTACTGTAACATGTAAACATTTACCAGTTTATGTAACACAATAGTAAACTGGACATGCAAACAAGAGAAATGTGCTTCTTGACAATTTTTGACCTAGATATTGTATTATATCGTAAAAAAATAACTCAATTATGTAGACTCCAACATGTAGCCCTATTTTTGAAGATTCATATTAAATATGAAATGTACATTAAATATTTATTGGATAAATTGACATTGATATTGAAGTGTATTCACAATGATAATAATACGAAAGACTGATCAGAATCGGCGTAATTTTAGCATTTTCTCCAAACGTGCGTTTAATTTAACAACTTGCTTCTTTTGCCTGATTTTTCCACTAGACCGCAGATTGGTGCTCATTTCAGTAACGGATTTTAAAAATGTTTCTCTACTAACTAAATATCTTTTCGGACGGTACGGTGCAGGCCTGATGGTCCTGATGTTTAGTTACCTCAAAAGTCGAATGCGAAGACACGATAATATGTTCACTTTTCGAGTCTTCGCTTTCGACTTTTTAGGGTGCCTTTATGAAGACATTTTAGGCGAAATAACGACATTTTAATAGGTGAAGACACGAGATTCTCATCTGCAGAATTATTGTGTCGGCGTGTATACATTTTGGTACCGGCGCCTTAACCAGTATTTGTCTTCGCCACTTAAGATAGTTGGCCATGCAATTTATCGTGACTCGACTCTCTAGTCGAAGACACTACGACACAAAATGGCAGAAACCAGCCACCATACCTAAGATTTTATATGTTAATATTTATCACACAGCTATGATCATACTGTGCAAACGGTCATGTGAAATGCATGGGTTCCGATAACTTCTATAATGCACCCGTTAGACTCCTAACTCAACTTATTCACAAGATTTTACTTGTTATTTACTACTTTAACGAGCTACCAGTATGTCGAATTACTTTTTACGAGTTACCAGTATGTCGAATTACTTTAAACTTCTTCATGAGTGACTTCATGGCACTGTAAAAGCTTTATCAGAAGGAAACGAACAAAGCAAGCCCTTTTATTTCATACGTTTCCGAGGTATTGTGAAACTTACTGCAAAATACATTCAGGGCAGCGTGATTTTATCTGAAAATTTGTAATGGTGATACAAATTCAATCGCATTTCTTTTGTAAATGTTTGAAGCTAAAATGAACTTTTTTTTCTGAATTTTGTTGATATAGCGTTGTTATTATTAAATTGCATGCAAATACATCTTTGAGACGCCGTGTGTTTTAATTAGTGTATACAAATGTATTATAATCAGAAAACAACATCAAACATATTGACATCTTTCTGAAAATTAATTCTAGGGGAAATAAAGCCTGCCTATTAAGTATGCTTTGCAATTAGTTCCCTTTAATCACGTTTTTTTTTCTTTTTTTCACAACAGGGAATGACGCTTATAGTCAACTAAGACGAAAGTTTCTGTTGAAATGCTATTCAGAAATCAGTATCATTTACTATTGTACATTTTGAATGAACGTTTTCTTCTTCTTAACTTTACTTATTGTTGCACAAGAATCTCACATAATGTTTTGTTTAAAAGAGTTTTTCATGTTTTCCTTGTTTGCTGAGGTAATGAACTGTTGATAACGATAATCAAATTCGAAGACACGCCAACTTTCTTAGAGAGAAAAACAGTTATAAGTCATGGTTTTGAATATTTTATACATATTAATTAAAAAAATATAACGTTAATCATTTCTTAAAAAGTCTTTATCACACTAGAAACGTTCGTTTTGTGACTTATTTCGCCGGAATCCTGACACTTGCCCCCCGGACGTTTGTCCCCTTTTTGTAAGAGGGGGGGGGGGGGGAGTTACATGATTACCCCTTACATTTTTGAAAGTGACGGACTTTTTCCACCATAAAATATTTGAAGGGCGGACATTTGCCCTCTCCCCCAAGTTAAAAGTGTTAAAAATATTAATTGTTTATTACCGCAATTGTCAGAGGTCATCTCGTGTGCAAAATTTATCTTATGTTATTTAACAATGGATTTATTTATGCATGATTTTTGAGGGAGGTAAATATCCGAGATTCATTGTTGTACGACTATATCAAAAGGACCGCCCTAATAAACAATTGGCTATATTAAAGTTTTTTCTTTACAATTATTTTGATTCTAAATATTAACATACCGATGATATGAGGCACTCAGCGAAATAGAATGCCGGAGATTTGCCCCCTGGACGGTTGTCTTATTGTTTCAACTTTAAATCTAATGTA